CCATATAAGAGTTATTGAGAAAGCCAAACTATTAAAAAACACAAGTTTCCAGGCCTCGCCTTTAGCAAGGCAGGTGTTACTGGGGATTAAGGTGAAGCTAAGTCCAGTGGTCCAGACCCCACTTGCTCCCCCTCCCAGTGGCCTCCAGGCTTGGGGACACTGAGGCTGTCCTCTTTTTGCCTCCGGTGGGCTGAGAAGTCAGACCTAGGCCTGAAGGGTGAGGACCAGCTCTGCCCTGTGATTTCTGAGGGGGTCCCCCTGTCCTCTAGGAAAGCCTCACCTGGGCAGTGGGCCCAGGCCACCCCTCCCCGTGCACCCAGCCCTAGGTGCCTCTGCCTGCAGGTCACCCAGTGTGAGATGGCCTGTGAGCCCCCTGCACCTACTTCTTTTGCTTCTATGGTTGATCAATACCTAAAAACATGACCATGTGTCAATGAAAAGAGTGAAACATAAAATATTTGAAGAGATTTATTCTAAGCCAAATCTGAGAGATCCTGGCTGGTGACACAACCCTCGGGAGGTCCTGAGAATAGGTGCCCAGTGTGGTTGAGGTGCAGCTTGGTTTTATGTAGCCATGAGACATCAATCAAGTACATTTATGAAATACATTAGTTTGGTCCAGAAAGGTGGGACAACTCAAAGCTGGAAGGAGGGGGGAAGTGGTGCTTCCGGGCTACAGGTGAATTTAAACATTTTCCAGTTGACAATTGGCTGTTTCTCTAAAGACCTGGGATCCATAGAGAGGAAATGTTCAAATTAAGATTAAAAGATTGTGGCGGCCAAGTTTCTTTTGCGATCTTATATTGGCTGCCCTTAGGGACAATCGATGACAAACGTTTCCTATTCAGACTTTTAACGGTGCTAGACTCTTAGTTAATCTCTTCAGGATTGTGAGGGCCTGGAAAAAATAAGATCCAGTCATGCAAATTTTCTCCCACAAAGGACATCTTTGCAGGGCATTTCAAATATGGCGAAGAAACATGTTTTGGGGTAAAATATTTTTATTTTCTTCTTTGTCACATAGCGTTATGCCAGAGTCAGATTGGAGAGTAAGTCATGATATACACGGTTAATTAAACCCACAGTCGTGATATACAGGGTTAATCAAACCCATAGTCGTGATATACAGGGTTAATCAAACCCATAGTCGTGATATACAGGGTTAATCAACCCCATAGTCATGATATACAGGGTTAATCAAACCCATCGTCGTGATATACAGGGTTAATCCAACCCACAGTCATGATATACAGGGTTAATTAAACCCACAGTCATGATATACAGGGTTAAATAAAACCCATCTAATGAAAATTTATGGTTTGTAGGAAGTGACTTCCCAGACCCCTTAGATAGGAATTTGGGCAAGATAAAAAATTAGAGTTCAGTCCTCAGCTCACCAAAGATGAAGAGTTTATAACCTAATGTTACCTTTGTTTTTAAAGTCGTCTGAGTTAATCGGATGTAAAAGTAACCTTACACCACTGGCTATTGGCTCCTTCTTAGACTGGACACAGTGTCCCATGTCCAAGGCTGAAATGGGTTAGAAACACGACTTTAAGGAAAGACAGGGACTCCAGTCACAGCTACTGAGTCCACAGAAAGGCAGGGAGGGGTCCTGGGTGAGGGAGAATGGAACCAGCTGGAAGAATTAAAATGCCGAGGGCCAGGACTCGGGAGAGAAGCCTGTGGCTCGATCCTGAACATTTTCTATTTTTTTCCCCTAAACTTTTGTGGGTTTTTTTGTTGGTTTGTTTTGTTTGCGTGTTTGTTTGTTTTGAGATGGAGTTTTGCTCTTGTTGCCCTGGCTGGAGAACAATGGCACAATCTCGGCTCACTGCAACCTCTGCCTCCCAGATTCTCCTGCCTCAGCCTCTCGTGTAGCTGGGATGACAGGCACCTGCTGCCACATCCTGCTAGTTTTTTGTATTTCTAGTAGAGACAGGGTTTCACCATGTTGGCCAGGCTGGTCTCGAACTCCTTACCTCAGGTGATCCTCCCGCCTCAGCCTCCTGAGTAGCTGGGACTATAGGCATGTGCCACCACACCCAGCTAGGTTTTTCCAAATTATTTTTTGTAGACAGGATCTTGATATGTTACTCAGGCTGGTCTTGAACTCCTGGGCTCAAGTCATCCTCCTGCCTTGGCTTCCCAAAGGGCTGGGATTACAGGTGTGAGCCACTGTGCCCAGCCCTGTTTCTAAATTCTAAATTCATTGGCTGGACACGGTGGCTCATGCCTGTAATCCCAGCACTTTGGTAGGCCAAGGTGGGTGGATCACTTGAGATCAGAAGTTCAAGACAAGCCTGGCCAACATTATAAAACCCTGTCTCTACTAAAAATACAAGAATTAGCCAGGCGTAGTGGTGCATGCCTGTAATCCCCGCTATTCTAGAGGCTGAAGCAGAAGAATCACTTGAGCCTGGAATGCGGGGCTTTCAGTGAGCTGAGATCAGGCCACTGCACTCCAGCCTGGGTGACAGAGACTCTTTCAAAAATAAATAAATAAATAAATTCTAAGCTCATAATTTCACCCATAGCATCAATGATGGAGACATGGAGCTGGACCCCCACCCAGCGATAGCTTGATCTCTGTATGGAAAATGCCTTCCACATCCTGAAATTCAACAAAGAGAAAATGACGGAACCACATACATCTATTGTTTCTACAAATCTTAGACTAATATAATTTCTTCAAGAAAGGTATTATTAGCTGAGTGCCATTTATCAGGGAGGAGTTGGGAGGATGAGTAGATTTCATGGTGACATGTCTGTTCCGGTTTTGTGGCAATCAATAAAAGACACCCAGAGCAATAGGAATGATGCCACAGAAGCGAGAGCTTACGGTCAATACTTTTGATATGTATAACCTATGATACCTACTACATAGAGTAATTATAATAAATATTCAAATTCAAAATTTTAATCATTCATAATAGAACCGTAGTCAAATAGGTTTGACTTTTAAGTGATATGTCATGGGTCCAGTATTGTGACAAATGCTCCCTGAATATTCTTCATTCCATCCTTGGAATAACACTAGGAGGTGCAGTTGGCAGCCCTGTTTTCCAGGTGAAGCACAGGGTCTGAGCGTGTTGTTCAATGCTGCCTGGTATTCGGGGGCTGGGCTGGATTTGGAAATGGGAGGGGACGGGGTTGTGTCTACCTTCAATGTAGTCAGGCTGGATGCTGTGGAGCCAGGGACTGCAAAGTGGGTAGGATGCGGAGAAGGCACCAGCCAGGCCAGTGCCACCCTGAGTGGGTGCCAGCAGACTTGTGTCCCAGCATGAGCCCTAGGGAAAATCCACCTGCACCCAGACAACCCAGCATGGTGGGACGGGGGTCCCCAAAACTCCAGCTTTATTTTTGTGTCCAGGAGGAAGCACTGGCCAGGGGTAAGGCTATTGGAAGAGCACCCCCCTCACATGTGGGAGTTGTCTTGGTGGCCAGGGGCGAGCTGAGAAGCTGGGAAAGCTGGCAGGAACAGGGGACTCAGTGAGGAAGTGGCAGAACAGCCCTGCCCCATCCTCTGCCCGCGCCTGCGTGCTGTGCATCCACTGCCCTGGGGATCCAGGTGATCGCCCTGTACCAGCCCCAGGATCAGCTTCTGTCATTCCACCAGCGGGGACTGCAGGGTTTGCCCACTTGTTGAGAGATTTAGCATTGTTTTCTTCTTCCTTTCTCACTACCTGCCTGAAAACACTTCTCTTCCGCGGTCAGCCTGCGGTCACTCGGGCTTGGCTTGCTGGTTTTTCCAGTTGGGCCGGATGCACCTACGGGAGCTACATCAGCCACTGGGCCTAGAGGAGGGAATGTTTCCTTAGGCACATCTTGGCTGCCACTGGAAACGCCAGCCTGGCCAGGAGTTACATGGACACATGTGCACATCCAGGCAAGGACAAGAACCCAGGACATTTGCATTCAGGCTCCAGGCCCCTAGTTTCCAGATGGCTGTATGTCAGGCACCAAGCCCTGGGCCTCAGCCTCCACCTCTGTAACGTGGGGATTTGGTGACCTGCCCAGCCAGTGTCCACATGAAATAATAGATCTGAGAATGCTTTGAAGAGAGAAGAGCGCACCAAACCAGTCCACAGCTGACTGGGAGGCCTGGGTTTTCTCTGGTCTTGGCTCATTCAGGCTCATTCTCTGTGTCAACACTGGCAAAACACATCCCCTCTGCACAAACTCTGGGCGCTCAGAGCTGCTGGAGGGAGGATGAAGCATATTTGCAAGAAGCCTACAAGGGGCCCAGCCAGGTTTTGTAAGGGATGAAGTTTAAACGATGTGGGGGACCTTCCCTAAGAAATAGTATACAAAATTACAAGTACAACAGCCCATCCAAAGCATATCATAGTTGTTTAAAATGAGAAAAGAAAATACAATAAATTAACAGTTCTCTAAAGCAACACTATCACAATATCACAAATACACAATAATATAATCATTTTATTAATTCTATAATTCCTTTTAAACTACAGTTTTGAGGTGCATGCTCTTTGTTTACTTCTTATGACAATAGTTATAAAAGCAGCAGCCCTGCTGAGTGCTTGGAAGGATCCTTCAGCCTTTCCTTGACATGGGAGCCTTGGCTCTGTCATTCTAAAACCCTCTTCTCCACTCCACTTCCCAAAAGCTTAAAGTGCGGGGCACTGTGGGGAATACTGCGCCTCTGGTGGGGAGACGCCTACCACCCAGCAGACACTGTGTGTTACGTGTATCCTGGAAGCCCTTCCCACGGCTCAGAGTTATCCACAAATTCCTGCACATGACTGCAGACAACACAAGAACCTCACTGGTCCCAATTTCAGTGCACCCCCACTCCCTTAGCACCGTTCCAGTGTGCCTGAGGCCACTGCACTATGTCCAGGACACCCAGGGAGGAGAGACAGCATCAACAGAAGCAGACAGCCGTCCTCGGGATCGCAGTGAAAATAGCTTCTATTGGGCAGTGCTTATCTAGGCAATGGAAGTAAAACTAATTAAAGTTTAACGAAGGGTTAGTAAGATGTTCCCAGTGGATGGATCACTAGCAGGGTGGCAGACAGAAAACCCAGTGAGGAATTCTCTATTATGTTCACAGCAGACGAGAAACTGCGTGCTAAGTGCCTAGGTAACATCCAGATCTGTTTCGAGCCTGTATCTTCTTGTCTTCTCTTTATATAGTTTATCTATCATTCCTGTGTGTTTTGAGACAAAGAAAAAATGAAGCACCAGCCACTGTACCAGGTTTTAAACTATTTCCAAACATATCTGCTCCATTATCATCAGAAAACAATTCAGAACGCTCGTGGGGAGGAAGGGACATTCCCAAGGGACTTGGCCCCTAACAGCAGTGGCCACCTGGACACAGCCCCCCTCCTCTTCCACCTCCTGACCTCGCCCAGCCCGCCTTTTCCAAAGTGGGATGGGTGATTGGGGTGTGGAGACAGTGAGCACCCCCATGACTGGGTATTGACCCTGCAAACCAGCAAGTTTCCAGTTCTTGGCTTTAAGCAGGGAAGATGAAAGCCCTAAGTTAGTTTCCCCCTGAGAGACCATTAAAATCACACTGATCACTACTGACCGTGGGACCCAGGAATCCTCCCAATCCCATAAGGCAGACATGGCTGGATGACAGATAGGGAAACTGAGGCACAGAAGGCTGTAATAGCCTGCCTGAGGTTGCACACCTAGTAAGTGATGAAGTAAGGCTGGCTGGGAACCTAGACGTGTGGCTTTCATCATGAATTCTGGAGTGTAAACTGGGAGGACTTCACAGAGTGAGCGGGATGACTGCAAAGCCCCATGCTCCCATCCACTTGTCCAAGGCAAGCTGTTTACTCAGCACTTCCATTGATACATCAAAGAACAGAGGCCAAATCGGCACTGAGCTGTCTCGTTCACCCACAGACGCACAACAAAATGGAAACCTTAGAGCAGCCTGTCCAGTGGATTTCTACACCTGCAGGTGGGTAAGTAGCTGCCCATGCTCAGGCTGAGCCCAGCCAGCACCCAGCCCTATGGAGCTCGTGGAGTATTTCCGAAGGGGGAAGAGAAGGTCGGAATCTATGATCAATGTGAAGGGTGGCCTGAGGCAGGACATTCACCGCCTGGCAGGGGAAGGCGGACGTGATTAGCATCTGGCTCGGGTCTTCAGAGGATTGGTGGGAACAGCCAGAAGAGGATTTTGAAGTGAGGCGTTTGGAAGAACCTTAGCATTGTCCATTGACACCTTCCATGGCAGCGTTGACGGCTCTTTCAGGGAGTCACTGTAATCAAACCATTTGTCAGGGCACAGCTCAGGCACCTGGAATCATCAAGGAAATGTGACAAGGGCAACAGGATGGTGAAGTCGCCTCAGACTGAGAGCTGTGTCTGTCCATGCCTGTGTCTGTTTGTGTCTGTGTGGAGGGGTGCGAGCTCTCAAATCCTGCCACCTCACGAACAGATCCTTTTCTAGTAAATGCTGTTAAACACAGAAGATACAATTGTAACAATATTTATGCAGTACTTAGTGTTGTCACAAACTGCGAGTTAGTCATTGAGATGATCAGGCCAGTCCAGGAGTTATCAGTGCCCTGTGTCTCAGATACATTTACATTTACATGTTCTTCTAGGGGAGTATGACAAGTTAATCCAAAAAAAGACATAAATATATATTGTTGAATAAATCTGGACTTAGGAGAAACTTTATTGGATAAGATACTCAAACAGAAAGGGACTATGTCAATGGGGGGAGGGGGACTATTGCAATGGGAGAGGAGGACTATTTCAATGGGAGAGGAGGACTATTGCAATGGGGGAGAGGACTATTGCAATGGGGTAGGAGGACTATTTCAATGGGAGAGGAGGACTATTTCAATGGGGGAGGAGGACTATTGCAATGGGGGAGAGGACTATTGCAATGGGAGAGGAGGACTATTTCAATGGGAGATGAGGACTATTTCAATGGGGGAGGAGGACTATTGCAATGGGGTAGGAGGACTATTTCAATGGGAGAGGAGGACTATTTCAATGGGGGAGGAGGACTATTTCAATGGGAGAGGAGGACTATTGCAATGGGGGAGAGGACTATTGCAATGGGAGAGGAGGACTATTTCAATGGGAGATGAGGACTATTTCAATGGGGGAGGAGGACTATTGCAATGGGGTAGGAGGACTATTTCAATGGGAGAGGAGGACTATTTCAATGGGGGAGGAGGACTATTGCAATGGGGGAGGAGGACTATTTTAATGGGAGAAGAGGACTATTGCAATGGGAGAGGAAGACTATTGCAGTGGGGGAGGAGGGCCCATTGCAATGGGGGAGGGAAGTTATTGCAATTGGGTAGGGTACTGTTACAAAGAGGGAAGGAAACTATTATAATTGAGAATTGCAGTTGGGAACTGGAGTCGAGAGACCTGCAAGCATCTGAAGCGGTAGGCAGAAAGGGATTATGTTTTGTAGAGAGGAGTAATCAAAACCAGGAAGAGCAGAGTCTGGGGCAGTGGGCTGGATGGGAGGCGAGTGGTCAATGCGGGTTTGACCCAAGGCCAGCCTCTTCTCTGGAGGCGCTGGCTGCAGGCTCAGGCTGAGGGCAGTCAAGTTCAGGAGCCCAGGGAAGGAAAGAAGCTTCACTGAAGTTCAGTTAATGAGGCTGTTTTTCCGATTGATCAGTGGGCAGAGCAACTCAGCTAATCACTGATGACCAAAGAATGGCAACCTGGAAGGCCTGGCACTGGCCTCGTCCTAAGTCAACATGGAACATGGTGGTGCATCTGCATCACATGGGAAGGCCGTTCCCTGCAGTCGGCCATTTTCCGGAACCCAAAAGGGTAAGAGGATTTCTTAACCTTCAGCTGAAGTTTAACATTGTCAGTATTTAATGTATTCCATTGAGATAAAATCAGTAGAGGCCATAGACTAGAAATGCAGGTTCAGGGGGAGAAGCATTCACATAAATTTCTGACTGTCGGAAAGCTGGTTTTCATGCTTTTTAAACAGCAAGTGGCTGATGTCAGATTGCTGTGCTATTTAGATTCCACTGGATACATTTTGAAAGATGGTGTGCATCTTATCTGAAATGTCAGTATTCAAAATGTGCTGATACCCTTCTTGACTAACTAAATGTATGACGGAAGTGTTTAGATGTCAGCTTTAGAAGTACAAAAGGGCTGTGGCCTTTTGAAACATTTTAGAAATTCTGTAAGTAAAGATCTGAAAACTGCTGCCCCACGAGTGGGTGCAAGCGTGTCCTCAAGGTGATTCTCAAAGGCTGCTAGCCACGGGAGGTTGCGCGTGATCCCATCGGCAGCCCAGTCCAGGCAGAACTGGAGGACAAGAGGCACCCCTCAGCCTGGTGGTCAGCCCTCTGGCCGGGAGGCTGCAGGTGACTCCTGTGGACTGACAGGCTTAGTACCCACGCCTCTGCCCCTCCTGCTAATGGAGGTGCCTGCCGCTCAGGTCCCAATCCCTGGGTGGGGGACTATTGCAGTGGGGGAGGAGGACTGTTGGGGGATCCGGGCCTCAGGAGGATTTTCACCTCCAGGTGATTCCCAGGTAAGCCAAGTTTGAAAGCCTCCACTGGTAAAAAGGCCCAGAGCACCAATGAGCAAAGTGTTTTGTTTCTTGGTTTTGTTTTTGGTTTTGACTTTTATTTTAGGTTCAGGGATACGTGTGTAGGCTTGTTACATAGGGAAATTGCGAGGGAGGGGGTTGATGTGCAGATTATTTCACCACCCAGGTAATAAGCATAGTATCTGACAGCTTTTCCGTCCTCACCCTCCTCCTTTCCTCCACCCTCAGGTAGACTCTGCTGTCCGTTTTTCCCTTCTTTGCGTCTGTGTGTAATCCATGTCCAGCTCCCCCTTATAAGTGAAAACATGTGGTATTTGGTTTTCCATTCCTGTGTTAGTTCTCATAGGATTATGGCTTCCAGCCCCACACATGTTGCTGCAAAGGATACAACCTTGTTCTTTTTCCTGGCTACATAATATTCCGTGGTGTATATGTATAACATTTTCTTTATCCAATCTACCGTTGATAGGCATTTAGATTGATTAATAGAGACTGTTCAAAAGGAGACATACACATGGCCAACAAGCATATGAAAAAATGTTCAGCATCACCACTCATTAGAGAAATGCAAATCAATACCACAGTGAGATACCATCTCACGCCAGTCAGAATGGCTATTATTAAAAAGTCAAAAACAGGGCTGGGCGCGGTGGCTCAAGCCTGTAATCCCAGCACTTTGGGAGGCCGAGGCGGGTGGATCACGAGGTCAAGAGATCAAGACCATCCTGGTCAACACGGTGAAACCCCATCTCTACTAAAAATACAAAACATTAGCTGGGCATGGTGGCGCGTGCCTGTAGTTCCAGCTACTCAGGAAACTGAGGCAGGAGAATTGTCTGAACCCAGGAGGCGGAGGTTGCGGTGAGCCGAGATCCCACCATTGCACTCCAGCCTGGGTAACAAGAGCAAAACTCTGTCTCAAAAAAAAAAAAAAAAGAAAAGTAAAAAACAATAACAGATGCTGGTAAGGTTCCAGAGAAAAGGGAACGTAAATTAGTTCCATAAATTGGTTGTGGAAAGCAGTTTGGCAGATTCTCAAAGAACTTAAATCAGAATTACTGTTTGACCCAACAATCCGTTATTGGGCAGATACCCAAAGGAAAGTAAATCATACACCCAGAGGAACATGAATCACAAGCACAATTCACAGAAGTGTTTCATTTTGCGTTGTTTTTGCCACACTGTAGACGGTCGGCCTGAGAAAAAAAGAGGGGTCACTTTTCGTTACTAAGTGAACCCAAACCCTCAGTTGCCTCAAGTTTCCCCTTTTCCTACTTTTCTTTCTTAAGATGGAGTTTCACTCTTGTTGCCCAGGCTGGAGTACAATGGCGCGATCTCAGCTCACCGCAACTTCTGCCTCCCGGGTTCAAGAGATTCTCCTGCCTCAGCCTCCCTAGTAGCTGGGATTGCAGGCGCCTGCCACCACACCCAGATTTTTTTTTTGTTGTTTTTTTTTGTATTTTTTAGTAGAGATGGGGTTTCTCCATTGTTGGTCAGGCTGGTCTCGATCTCCTGACTTCAGGTGATTCACCTGCTTCAGCCTCCCAAAGTGCTGGGATTACAGGCATGAGCCACGGCACTAGGCCCCATTTCCTACTTTTCTCAGGTAGTTTCTCTCCTTTAGCTCATTCTGTCCCGAGAGTGACGTCACTCCCCAGATGTTGACCCATCTGTAGCAGGAATTCTCCAAGTGGGGCCCCTCCCCCGCCTGCCGGCACAGATCTGGGAGGAAGCCCGCAGGAAGAACCAGGCTGCTTTGGGTTTTCACCTGAAAAAGAGGCAGAGTTATTTTGATTGTAGTTTGTGTAAAGCAATGAGCTATGTGCCTATGGCCTGTGAAATAAATTATTAAAGATTGCTACGAATGCTATGTATTCCCTAGCTAAAATGAGCAACCTTCCACTCTACAAAAAGTTCCCAACAAATGCCCTGACAATGCCCCAGAGTGCTTCCCGCTTCCCCTGTGTTCATGGAGCTGCCTCACATCCTTGGAACTTGGCCACACTGGCCTTTAAAGAGACTGTCCTGTGAGAAAATCCACAGCCAACGTAACAATGTGGATGAGTCCAATCTTTACTTAAAATATAAAATGCATTAATTCCATGACACACATTAAAAAGGTCAGATGCCACGTGTGCATATAAACTCCAATTTGACACATTGTTTATACATTGTTTTTTTCCCCAAGCTCTCACCTGATGAAGCCATTCCATTCTAACTCTCCTTCCCTCTGTGACGTACAGTCTCCCTGTCACAGACGTCCCTTTTGAGCTAATCTTTTCCCAGAGAACATTGTAAGGTCTTCAGTTTCCTCCAATTTCTTTGAGTTCTGCTGACTCCAAGACACTGTCACCGGTAAGTCCTATTTATATAACATAGAACGTTGTTTCTTTTTCATTCTTCTTGGAAGAGGATTCACACAACATAGACAACCTATTGCTCCTAATGTGGTCTTTACATGGCTTTTTTTCTTTTTGAGATGGAGTCTCACTCTGCCACGGAGGCTGGAGTGCAGTGGCGCAATCTCAGCTCACTGCAGCCTCCAATAAGGCTTCTTTGTAACACCCTACACCTCTGAATATGAGGTCATACCTCCTGGAATCATTCAGTCCGTGTTGAATATCTTTCCTTCTTTATCTGCTGGTAGTGATTCACCCCCCTGGCCACTCTGAATGTCCGCAGCAAGTGCAAATTGGGGTCAATCCAGGCTACTGTGCCTCCTGAAAAAAGAAACTGGCTTTTTGTAGAAAACCAATTGATGTTATGTGTCACAATAAAAGAATCATTGCAAGTTTCATGTGCTACATTAAATATTCATGTTTTTATAGTTTTGTAATCATAGAATGATCTGAAATGATTCATATAATCTCTCATTTCTCAGGAAATGAAAATGACTTAATAATGAAGTCTGAAATAAAAACTGTCTGAGATGGGCTCACGCCTGTAATCCCAGCCCTTTGGGAAGCTGAGGCAGGTGGATAATTTGAGGTCAGGAATTTAAGACCAGTCTCACCAGCATGGTGAAACTTCGTCCTACTAAAAATACAAAACTTAGCTGGGTATGGTGGCATGTGCCTGTAGTCTCAGGTACTTGGGAGGCTGAGGTGGGAGAATTGCTTGAACCCAGGAAGTGTTGCAATGAGCAGAGATCGTGCCACTGCACTCCAGCCTGGGTGAAGGAAGGGAGACTCCATCTCAAAAAACAAACAAAAAACACATCTGAGAGCCACATTGCACAGAAAGCGGAAAGGGAGGGTGTGGTACTTGACCCTCAGTTGACCCTCAGTTGGCATCTATCTGACCCATCCTGAGCACTCCCCCAGCCCTCACAATGGCCCTCTGGAGTGTGGTCAGACTTTGGCTCATGGACAAAGCAGGTTGGGAGGAGCTGGTCACAGAGCTGCGTGTGCCTAAACCAGGCCAGCTGCCTCCCCACTTGGGGTGAATGACACACGATCTCATTTAATGCTCTTTTAGTGCTGGTTCAGGTAAGGGAACTGAGGGCATTTTGGGTCTGGATAATTGTCTTGGGTCGTCTTGGACGAAGGTTCTAGGGGCCGTTACTTTCAAATAACAAATGCCTTTTGCATTGTAACAAGTGCCTTCTGAATGTCTGTAGACTGCCAAGCAACACGGCAACGGGAAATGCACAGCAATCATCAAATCCACGCTCAGGTTCACCCCGTCATCCTCTGTCCTCCCAAACGTAGCAGAAAGGACAAGGTTTCCCTAGAGGATGGATCTCAGCACCAACGAATTTAAACCAACCATTGAAATTCCAGCTTCCTTGAATGTCATTACTCAGAGGCCCCAGGTCTAAGCCAATCAACACAAGGCATTTCTCTGGTAGCTAGGAATAGACTCAGAAATGGACAGGTGACCAGTTAAAGCCAATGAAACATCAGGGAGGTTGTCTGGAAGCTGCTGGAAAAAAAATCCCTTGCTCTGTAAAGGGATGGCGTGTTTCTCCGTCACTGGATATTACCATGTGTATCGCCCATTCCTACTGTGGCCATCTGTCAACCGACCACTTCTTGGATGAAGCTTAGAGACACAAAAATACCTTGATATTTGGTGGCCTTTTAAATTAATCAAAGTCCCAGTAAATGGCACATTGAGATCGGGAAAAATTGGGAAAAGTTTAATAAAGTGACTATTTTAAAAGGTATAAAACAGATAAGGGCAGTACTTGCTTGAAATTAGTGACTGTGGGAAGAGATGTCCACATCCTGTTCTGTGGTTCAGAACCACAAAGTTCTGAACGAGAGGTTGGGAGGTACCTTCCCAGAACCTGGAGACTGAGAGCCTCATGGATAGGCCTTCTGGGAGGAGGCTGCAGCAGCCTAGTGGTGGGGTGCCTGCAAGGAGACAGCTGGGGAAATAAACACCCAACCTCACTTTGCTTTCTGCTGTGATCACCTGCTGATGTTCCCCATTTGCCGAATTCAAATGGAACTCACCAGCTTGCTGGTGTGGAAAGTAGAAGAGTTCCTTTTTAAAGTTTCCTTTCTTGTTAAAGAGTAAGTGTGGTAATAACTTCGTGAAGCCCTATCCTACGTAGCTGTTAGACATGCCGTGCTTACAGGCACGTAGTCCATTCTACGTCCGTGTACATTAACCAAGATATCTGTGCTGGACGTGCTCACAGGCATGTCCCAGATCTCCATTGCTTTCACCTGTTTAGAAAAGTGCTAAGTCTTTATAGCCAGTAGGGTTTTCGTTTAGATTGTGAGGTCTGGCTCCAGCCAATGGAGATCAGACACAGCAGTGAGGACGGCCCCAAATATGTAAGAAATAGATTTGTGTGTTTTCCTTTGTTCATTGTACTCTCGTGGCAAGATGGCTGGCGAGGGTGCCCTTCCTGCAGTCCAGGAAGTAAATATTGCGTTGCCGGAAGATCCTTTGTCTCAGTGCTGATTTTTCTCTGCAGCACTGAGCGTCTGTTTCCAACACCAGGACAGAGAGGGCTGCAGAGGCAGCTGGAAGGATGAGTGCCAGCTAGGCGCGCCGCCTCCTAGAGAGACCACACATGGCTGGATGTGCAGCTGCATGACACCATCGATTGCTTTATTTTAAAGTCACTTTGAATTGCAATGTGTTTCTTGCACTCGAAAGTATCCTACTGTGCATACAGAAAACATTCTAGGCCGGGCGCAGTGGCTCAAGCCTGTAATCCCAGCACTTTGGGAGGCCAAGGCAGGCAGATTACCAGGTCAAGAGATCGAGACCATCCTGGCCAACATGGTGAAACCCCATCTCTACTCAAAATACAAAAATTAGCTGGGCATGGTGGTGCGTGCCTGTAGTCCCAGCTACTCGGGAGGCTGAGGCAGGAGAATTGCTTGAACCTGGGAAGTGGAGGTTGCAGTGAGCCGCGATTGTGCCACTGCACTCCAGCCTGGTGCCTGGCAACAGAGTGAGACTCTGTCTCAAAAAAAAAAAAAAAAAAAAGAAAAAGAAAACATTCTAATACGAAGCCATCCTAAAAATAAAAAATGTTACAGGCTAGGAAGGGAATGGATATGCACAGAAGGGGCAGAGAAAACCCACAGGACTATTGGTCTCCAGACGTAGAAATGGGCAGAGCCACCAGGATTCCCGCTTCTGAATGGGAAGGGGCACCCTTGTGTGTGCTTCAGGAGCCTGGAGTCAACCTCCTTAGGAAACAAAGACACGAGGCAGGAGGCGGGACTTTGCTCCCGGGAGGAAAACGCCAGGTCGCTTTGATAAGGACTGCTTGTCTGACCTTGGAAGGGGATCAGGTTAGAGGTGGAGTTAAACACAGGCCTGCCAGCCACAGGGAGGTGAGAGGAGAAGGATCGCTAAACAAACCGAGCACTGGGAACTTACAGAATAGCATTTCAAAGCCGGGGAAAATAAACAGCCTGAAAAAATTTACAGTGAATGTGGCAAGTTGAAGAACGCTTCTGAGGAAATCTGAATAATAGACCAATCATCAGAGGATTTATTTAACTGTGTGTGATCTTCAAAAAGGCCAAGGAAGGGGACGAGTGCACGAAAAACAAATAATCAGGTGCTGTGAGGAGCTGGAGCAGCCGTCAGTAAGAAGACGTGGCTAAGATCAGTGAGAAACTGGAGGTCCCGAAAACACAAAACTATACATGTTGAGATGAACAATCAGCGAGCAAACGCAGTTAACGAGAGAAAGAGCAGATCGCACCGAGGAATTGATGCTGACGGGACAGAGAGACAAAGAAGTGGAAACGTGAAAGACACAAAACAATATGGAAAACAAGATGAGACACTCCCACATGCACCTAATAGGAGCTCCAGAACTGGAGAATACGGGAAACGCTGGAGGAAATATCCAAATTATAATACCCGACTGTTTTCTAAAATTGAAGAAAGACATGATTTTTCACATAGAAAGATAACACTGAGAAGCAAGCAGAATAAATGAAGATAAATTCATAGTCAGATGCAGTGCATTAAAAATGCAGGCTATCAAGGAAAAGGAGAAAATCTACAGGCCACGAGGGTGAAAAAGATAAGAAAAAAAAAACCTACGCAAAGCCTGGGAGGTTAGACTGAGAGCTCACATCTCAACACTACAAATGGAAGGTGGCTCTTCAGGAGGCTGAGGCAAGAGGATGGCTGAGTCCCAGGAGTTCAAGTCCAGCCTGGGAACACAGTGAAACTGTGTCTTAAAAAAAAAAAGAGAGAGGAAGGTGGTGAGTGAAAACATTCAGAAGTCAGAAGAAAATGACTTTCAACCTAGAATTCTGTAAACCACCACATTTTTATTAAGAGTGAATTCAGAATAAAGACTTCAGACTGAAAAACACTGAAGAGTTTACCATATGGACTTTTGATAAAAACTATTTACTCTTGTTGAGAGTAAATCAGTTGCTCTCAACCTTGCATGCCCATTAAAGCCACCAGGAACGTCAAAAAATTCCGGTGCCCAGACCACACCTGGATGCAGGTGGTAGAGGCTTTTAATCTTCCCAGGTGATTCCAAGGATCCGCCGGGGTTGGCATCACGGCTTCACCTAATAACTCGGGAAGAAGAAACCTAAATTCAGGAGAGGCTTCCAACAGCACCTGGATCAGCCACCTGCCAGTTAACAAGGAGCTGTTCTCTGGGGAGGGGTCCTCTGTGTGACACTTTCATTGCTTGGCGTGAGAGGTTTTATACAATTTGAATTTCATTTGTCTTGTTCTTTCCCAAGTGAGTTTTTCCCATTCGTCTTTCAAATCACTTAGGTTTGCTTTGGGGAGAAGGGCTGGTTGGTAGCCTAATGTTGTTCACAGCAATGGACTGCAGTCTCGCTGCTGGGGAATTCTTTTAAACTACTGACCCCCGGGGCTCAGTCCCTGTGGTTCTACTGTAA